TGTACCAAAAAAAAGGCGGAAGTCATAAAAATGGATCGTCTGCTCAGATAACCGTAGTTAGAGGACATCATGGACAAGAAAATACATTAGGGACTGAAGTCACACATAAGCACAGGTTACCATGGTGCCCATTTTCATAATATTTTGGGGATATTTTAATGTTTTTGAGAAAATTATTTTATTTGGATTTCTTTGATTTTAATAATTAACAACTTAATTTACTTTTAACCGTAGACATCCTAATTTTAAAAAATATTTGAAACCTTGGTGATTTTAAATTTTGATTGAATAACTTCTCAAGTTGTTGTGTGAATTGCCTTTTTTTTGTCGAAATTTTGCTCCCAATGATGCTAGTCATCTCTCTTGACATATTTTGTCTAATTTTACTGTTTTAAAATCAATCGGGAATCCGGGGTCAACCAATTTGATGACAAAAAAAAAAAAAACTGAATGAGACCAAAAGGCGATCTAGTTATTATATAATAAAAATTGCCTAAAACAACAACCCACAATTGGCGTATTGATTTGAAACTAGGTGAATTGATTAGGATTTTCAATTTTCGACATTACTTTTAATGAAAGGACAAACAAAAAAAATTCCTTCTCAACATATTGTTCATTTCCACAGTAGTCACCACAGCGTCATATAGTCAATCATTTTCATTGAAATATAGGTTTTCTTTAACATAAAAAATTATCTCATTGATTAAACTGTCAAACTGATATGTGGGAATCTGGTACAAAACGATACCTGTTAGCACTGTAGTCTGGGTTGCGGCCAGAAAAATTCTTCTTAAAATACATCATGAGAATTGAAGGTCATCGAGGCAGGACTTCTGGTTGTTTTTGACAGTAATAATAATAACATCATATGGTTGACTAAAGTGTCAGGGTCTGATCATCAAATCCTCGTGATCGTTACTAAACTGTACTGATTAATGTATTTGAGCCTTATATTACTTGATCAGTGAAATCTTTTGCAGGAAAATGTGCGAATGATCCTTTAACAAGAGACTTGAGGAAGAAAAACTTGTTTAAGCTTGTTTGAAGAGAAACTTCAGATAAATTTATATCCTCTTTAAATAATTTAAACTTTTAAACGAAGGGATTTGACTGGTACAGCAAGAACTGCTTAAAACTAAAAATGAAAATGCACTAGGTCACTATGCAGAAAACTAACACACTGCAAGACAATTTAACAAACAAGAAACGTCTGTGGACTTCTTACTTACAAGGAATCAAAGCCTAATCCTTCAAGACAATTGGAAAAGATAATTGGTGAAGTACACCCTTAACTTTTACTGATTTTTCGTTTTGGCCCTTTAGATCAACTGAAATATAACCTTTTTGTCCATTTTCTCCATAAAGCCTTGTTAATATAACGAAAAGTGCAAACAAATCCCAATTAAAACAATTAAAAAAATTAAACCCACCTAAAAGATCACCCCCTCCTAAATGGAAACACTGCTAGTCCATTTTTCATACAAGATCGTCCCCTCCTAGAAGCTTAGACCCGTTAAATTTCTCTCCAACTCACTCTTCATTATATGATAAGAGCCTATACATAGTGACATAATGGAATAGACCTTTTTTCAAATTCAGAAGCAAAGATTTTCTGATCAAATGTGAAATAGGATGCACAACATTATTCTTTTGTTGCAGATGTAGTTTCGTGCAACCGAAGCTTGAAGTTATATAGTTGTAGAAATTGGAATTGAATTCTAAGTATCAAAAACATAAATTATTCTCATAACAAAGAAAAACTTTGGGCAAATCCAATGGGAAGTGCACTTCTTGATTAGCATAAGCACTTCCGCATTATAAAGATCATTGCTTGGGGTCTCATGTATTTCCATCAAGATTCCCGTTTCAGAATCATACATAGAGCCATCAAAGCTAGCAATATTTTTCTAGATTCCAACATGAATCCAAAGATATCAAATTTAAGCATGGCTAGAAGTGTTGGAAGAAATGAGACTGAAGCAAACACAGGTTGAATAGTTGGACATAGTTAGAATCTCAGTGCTATAATATAAGAAATACTCGTCTATTGTTTACATGGCCACTTAATTTCCTACCAAATATTTTTCTATTGAGCGCTTACATGTCACCAAAATATGCAGCAGATGGCTATTCTCAGTAAAATCAGCTTATATTAGTTTTGGTGTTCTAGTGTTTGAGATTGTGACTGGCAAAAGTAATAGAGGATTTTCTCACAGTATCAGTGTATCACCACCACAGCCTTCTTAGACATGTAAGTACAGTTTACTTATTTCTATGTTCACAATAATGAAATTAGTTCTTTTAGCATTTGGATTCAAATAAATGCTCTCTTAAATGAGTTCAATTAGTGCAGCCATGTCTGTTTCATAGAGAGGAAGATCTTTGGAATTATTCCATGCTGACCTTGGCATCTCAGACTATTTATCGGAAATGCTGCCATCTGTCATTTCACAAGTTCAAGTAGAAGATAATACACTGACATACACTTTTTGTTTTGCTGCTCTACCAGGTTTTAAAACCAGGCTGTTCATGTAGCATGGTTCGCTGCACACTTTACGGTTTTGCATTTAGTTTACTG